TGTGTGTGTGTGTGTGTGTGTGTGTGTGTGTGTGTTTGTGTGTGTGCAGGGGAGCCCAGCACTCCTCCCTGGAGCAGAGCTCTCCTCCGCAGAGTAACACCCCAGGAACTCCTCCTTCCTACAAACTGCCTCCACTGCTCGGGAACTACGAGAGCAAAGATGATTTCCCGCTCCGCAAGACGGGTACGAGATAGTGTGTGTGTGTCTGTGTGTGTGTGTCTGTGTGTGTGTGTGTGTGTGTGTGTGTGTGGGGTGATGACTCAGTCTGACTCATCTGTGAAGAGGTAGCTCAAACCTTGGTATAAAACACACACACACACTGTGTCAGACATATGTATATATAATATATAAAATAAAATGAGAATGTGTCAAAGCTGTTGTGAGGTCAGAGTTAAGTGCGGGAACCTTCGGTGAATCTTACTCTTGTCATATCTGTCGACCTTCCTGATGATTGTGTCACAAATCAAAATTCAGCCACTTGTGTTTTTAGAACATTTTCAATTTGTGGATAGAAAAAAAATCTGAGTGACACAAACTTCACTTCAATTTTTAGTTGAATCTTTTTATCCGATGTTTATCTTGATATGTTCAATTTCTAAAATAAGCATAATTTTACTAGAGGGACATTTGTAGACATTCCCATTTCCTGATTTTAAAGATGGACAAACATGAGTGTTTGGAATAGTTGAGCTAATGGTCGGACATTCAGCACGACGGTATGTTCGTAGTTCTTAACAAGAAGAAGTGGATCAATCGAGGGAGACATTTTCTCTGACGCTTGTCAATGTGTGAGAGAGACTCAGGACATTTGCTGGTCTGTGATTGGACGTTTAGAGAATCCTCAGATTCTCGTCTGCCTGCTTCGTCCACTCTGACGCTTCTTTTTGCCGCTGCTAGCGTTAGCAGTAAGGTTTTCTGGAGGATTTCTCAGTAGCTGCCCTCATGTCGGTTCTCCTGAGGGTAAATAAACATTTACATAACATCCAGGTCTGTTGTTCAGAGTTTAAACCTGGATGTTTTCTTTCTGCTCCTTGCTCTTCACCTTGACTTTCAGACCAGAGCGACTTTAAAACACTCTCGCTGCTCATCCAGCGATCAGACCGGCCAGCCAACGAGCGGGGCCGCCAAAATGTAATGCAGCAGTGTCCCGCTGGCAAACCACCAGGCACCTCAGTGTAACCCCATTAAATACTTCGCCAAAGAAAACACACCACTTTGAACACAATGAAACAAAAGAGACACAAACAGACTCATCACATGAAACACAGACCAACAGAAATGACACAAGGTTAAAAAACCGTCATTAAAATGTGTTTTCTTCTTTCACCTTTAACGAAAACCGTTAAAAAAACATGTTCCGGTTCTCTCTCTCTCTCTCTCTCTCTCTCTCTCTCTCTCTCTCTCTCTGTCTCTGGGTCTCGCTCAGTCTCGGAGCCCAACCTGAAGGTGCGTTCACGGTTGAAGCAGAAGGTGGCGGAGAGGCGGAGCTCTCCACTTCTCCGCAGGAAGGATGGAACCGTCATCAGCACCTTTAAGAAGAGAGCCATAGAGATATCAGGTGAACACGTTAACAGCTGGAGACATTTCACACTTAAACTGGCTTTAAATTCATTCTGAATAACAAATGTGGAGTTTTCATTCATTAACTTGAATTCTTCTCTCTCTCTCTCCTCCTGTTTCTTTTTGTCCCTCGACCAGTCTCGTCCCTCTGTAACAGCGCTCCAGGTTCAGGTCCCAGCAGTCCCAACAGTTCCAACTCAGCTATCGCCAACGGCAACACGGGATCAGTCCCCAACATACAGACTGAGGTACACACACACACACACACACACAACCACACAACCACTCAGACTTTTATTCTGAAGCAAGTTGTACTATACACGCAGCCGGAGCTCGCCACCTGCAGTTCATCGTGGTAAAAAGGAAGGTGAAGGCGGTGTCGAGCAACGCTGAACAAAAGTACTTTATAGAAACACATCGAGGAAAACGAAGAATGTAGCTCCGGAGAGAGGAGTCGGTAAAATGAGTCAGAGCTTACAGTCTGTGTTGAAAACAATGGTTACCATAGCAACCTGGATCAATCTGCGGTGTAACCGTCAACACCGAACTAACCAGTCTGTCCTCGTGTCCGCAGCTGAGATCTCTCCATCAAACGCTGGGGGCTGATGGGACACTGAGTCCGCTGAGTCTCTACACTTCGCCCTCGCTGCCAAATATTTCCCTGGGGCTCCCTGCGAACACTCACATCACGGTCAGTCCGCTCAACACACGGTGTCTCTGCCTGTGACTGAGAGAGAAACTGAAATGAGTCAATGCAGGGAATAAAGGTTTTATCAGGGGGCCGGCATAACGGCCGACCTCAGAACAAGGATGACACATGTCCCAAGTGATGGTGTGCTGTGAGGTAACCATGGTAACTATCTCCTCCCCCCCCCCCCCCCCCCCCCCCCCCCCC